CAGTCGATTCTGACATAGCTTACATGATGCGATGGGCACGAAGCTTGAGTTCAGTTCAGCCTACCATCCGAAGACAAATGGTCAGTCAGAGCGGACGATTCAGACACTTGAGGATATGCTTCGTGCTTTGGTTATTGACAGGGGTGCTAAGTGGGAGTCACTGTTGCCGTACGCAGAGTTCGCGTATAACAACAGTTATCATTCCTCCATTCAGATGGCTCCTTACGAGGCACTTTATGGTCGCAAGTGTCGTTCCCCTCTTTATTGGGACGACGTTGGAGAGCGGCGAGTACTCGATCCTAAGATGATCGAGGAAACAGCAGAGCAGGTCGAGTTGATCAGGCAGAGACTTAAGACAGCTTAGAGTCGACAGAAATCTTCCGCCGATCATCATCGACGAGACATTCAGTTTGAGGTTGGCGAGCACGCCTTTCTCAGAGTTCGTCCGGTTCGCGGAGTTGTGCGATTCGGCAAGAGAGGGAAGTTGCACCCTCGTTTCATCAGTCCGTTCGAGGTTCTCGAGCGAGTAGGCGAGGTCGCGGATCGTCTAGCCCTACCTCCCGAGTTATCAGGCATTCATAATGTATTTCAAGCATCTATGTTGCGTAAGTACGTGTGCGACCCCGATCATGTTATCCCTCATACGGATATTCAGGTTCAGCCAGATCTATCGTACGAGGAGCGACCGGTAGCTGTACTAGACCGACAGGTCCGTCGGCTCCGGAAGCGAGATATTCCCCTCGTGCGCATTCAGTAGGATCGCCACGGAGCTACTTGGGAGGAAGAGTCCGACATTCGCGCTCGTTTTCCCGATTTTCAGTTTTGATGTACATATTTATTTATCCTATGTACATAGTTCATGTATTCAGTTATGTTTTGAATTTCCGAGGACGGAAATTTTGTAAGGAGGGAGGATTGTAATATCCCGATATTTTATCGGTATAAATTACGTTTTAGTTCCGATATAATAATGTTATCGATTATTATTTTCGGAATTAATTAAGTTCAGTCGGAATTACCGAAATCGATTTTCGACGTACCATTTACGTTCGAAATAATTTTGATAATTAAGTATTATGTTCAATTGAATAATTAAACATAAATTGAGTGATTAATCATAATTAATCACCCAAATTAGATCATTAGCCGTGGTTAAAAGGAAATTCACCCAATTGAAGTAAAAGGCCGT